AAACACGAAATTAAAGCTGTGAGGACCCTGGCTAGCGCCAGACGTTACTTAAAGGGTTCGCATGGCTAAAATCAAAATTTCACCAGTTGTAGTCTTCGGGGTGCTGAGTCGAATGGTCGTGGTCCGAGGAAGCCGAGACGCTCCCTTCCTACTTGAATCCCAATCGAACTTGCGCACTTCCACCGAAACTGGGCGACTGCGCCCTACAAGATGGGGATTTGTATGCAAAATGTCACTAAAAGCGCCATGTCGTTCTTATAAAAGTACGGATGACCGCGATTGGCCCATATGTTGTAGTCTTTTGGACGCTGAGTCGACTGGTTTTGGTCCGAAAAGGCTGCGATGCAGCGTTCCTCCTTTATTCCCAATCGAACATGGTTGAACAAGCGGTCACGTGCTCCTGCGTACACCAGTCACCTGGTCACCGTGCCTGCAGGGTACAACTTACCAGCCTGTTTGACCTTTTTTGGGTGCAGTCCTGTCACTCGAGTTGAACCTTGGTGTGAAAGTTGTCGCCTGCTGGCGTGGCGACCAGGTGATTTGGGCACCCAGGAGCAAACCACTAATTATAAATGAGGAGGCCGAGGGTTTATGACCAATAAAAACTATTATAAAAACCTCGGGGGACCTCGGTTTTTATAATAGTTTTTATTGGTCATAAACCCTCGGCCTCCTCATTTATTGTATACATAAATATGTACACATAAGTACCTTGACACAATATTTTTTGAAACTGTTTATGAAACTACAGGAAGCCTGCCCACTTTTACTTACTTATTGAATAGTAATTACAATAAAGGCAATAGGGAGAGTCACGGGTGACCAAGAGAGGACAGTGAACCGTTAGAAAGGTGTGCTTCAACGCACATCCCCAAACCGAGAGGCTTGCATCAGGAAAGAACAGTGTGACGATCAACAACATGATGGGCTTCAAAGCACAGTTCAAAACAGCAGCCTATCACCATCTCCTCAGAACGAACTCGCACTGGGCCACTCATATTCATAAGTCATAGCATACGGCAGTAAGAGTTGCCAGCGTGACGTCAGCATGCAGAATCCTCGCAGGAATACTAGCGGCACTATCAGGCTGCCGCAGGCCAGCGATGGCCAAGCTGAAGTCCCTGCACTCCTTCAACAGATCAAGACGAAGGTCCACCGCCGCATTCGCTCCAGTACTGCAGTAGTTGTAACTGGCAAGTGGGATGTCAAGGGGAAAGTGTTCAGTGCACGCGACTGTCTTGCTGTTAGCCTCTTCATCACAGTGATATTCATCGTGCATCAGGCCTCACGATTGCTGAAACTGAAACTAGTGCCATGCCAAGAAAAGGTCTGTGGCAAAAAGTTTTCGCTCACGCTTATGCCTGTTCCGGCGTCGGTACTGCACGCGTAGAAGAAGACTAAGTCTTAGTGTGTGAGAAGAGGCCGTGTTGTAGAAACAACCGGCGGCGGTGATTGTGATTCACCGGCCTGGTCACTGGCCTGCGCACTCTCATACCCGAACCGTCTACACTACTCTACACTGCAGCTCGACTACTGCACTGGTCTGTAGAAGTACAAGGTTTCGTTTGCGGTTTGGAATTAACTTTCGCTATACTCGTAGTTAAAGGGGAAGTATACCCTAAAATCAAATTTTCACCAGTTGTAGTCTTCGGGGTGCTGAGTCGAATGGTCTTGGTCCGAGGAAGCTGAGACGCTCCCTTCCTCCTTTATTCCCAATCGAACTCGCGCACTTCCACCGAAACTGGGTGACTGCGCCCTACTAGATGGGGATTTGTATGCAAAATATCACTAAAAGCGCCATTTCGTTCTTATAAAAGCACGGATGACCGCCATTGGCCGATATGTTGTAGTCTTTTGGACGCTGAGTCGACTGGTTTTGGTCCGAAAAGGCTGCGATGCAGCGTTCCTCCTTTATTCCCAATCGAACATGGTTGAACAAGCGGTCACGTGCTCCTGCGTACACCAGTCACCTGGTCACCGTGCCTGCAGGGTACAACTAATTACTTACTAGCCTGTTTGACCTTTTTTGGGTGCAGTCCTGTCACTCGAGTTGAACTCGAGTTGAACCTTGGTGTGAAAGTTGTCGCCTGCTGGCGCGGTGACCAGGTGATTTGGGCACCCAGGAGCACGTGACCGCTTGTTCAAACATGTTCGATTGGGAATAAAGGAGGAACGCTGCATCGCAGCCTTTTCGGACCAAAACCAGTCGACTCAGCGTCCAAAAGACTACAACATATGGGCCAATCGCGGTCATCCGTGCTTTTATAAGAACGAAATGGCGCTTTTAGTGACATTTTGCATACAAATCCCCATCTAGTAGGGCGCAGTCACCCAGTTTCGGTGGAAGTGCGCGAGTTCGATTGGGATTCAAGTAGGAAGGGAGCGTCTCAGCTTCCTCGGAACAAGACCATTCGACTCAGCACCCCGAAGACTACAACTGGTGAAAATTTGATTTTAGGGTATACTTCCCCTTTAAGGGGCACGAAATATCTAAAGTTTGTACCAAACTAAAGTTTTTTTTCTGTACGTTCGGGGTGACAGACCTTGACCAAAAACGAAATTCTTTAGTACGTAACGAACCTGCTGGTGGAGTGATCTAACGAAAGATTTCGTGAACGACAATTTGTACTTCCACGGACTACGCTCTCGTATTGTTACAAGTAGAGTGAAATACGACCCCGTCGATCAGTCAGCGATGGGCAGTGTGCAGGCCTAGACCGGCTGTGCACTGCTGCAGGGCGCTAACCTAGTCTAGGCGTCGGATTTCATTGACCTCAACTTTTGCAGTTCCGTACTCGTACAACACGCTACACCATTGCATGCAGGCGACAGGAGATACGCGATCGCTGTGATGACGATGTATTGCAGGCGACTCAGTCAATGAGTGTGCGGGTGAGTGGCGTTAATACCATGGTGTGAATACTCTGGTGTGGATACTCTGGTGTGGACACTCTGGTGTGTGGATACTCTGGTGTGGATACTCTGGTGTGGACAATCTGGTGTGTGGATACTCTGGTGTGTGGACTAGGCCTTTCCGGATTATGTGTTTGCATATTTTTGCATTTTGGGGGTCAAAATGCATTTTGTCCATTTTGACCCACTTTGGGCCAGGGAGTCGTAAAATACCGGTATTTTACGACTCCCTGCAAGCGATAGGTACTTCACCATGTTCACGATCACCATCAATGATCACCATGGTGCCAAATGTCACGCGACTAGCTGTCGCCATTTTGTTACCATGGCAATGGTGGCATTTTTTGTGCTTTTTGGGTAAATTTTTGCATTTTCTTTAGAAAAAAATTTGATTTATAGGGGTTTTTCAAAACACTTTCCATTTCCATTTTAGACCAAGAAAAAACGCATAATCCGGAAAAGCCTAGTGTGGACACTCTGGTGTGATTAGTCCTTGCTCACCTGTCACTACTTCATCATCTTATCATGAATGCAGAACTGATGCCGGTCATGCGCACGTGCCCACATAGACACAGCCACCTACGTGTCTTGCCCCCCCCCCCCCCCCCCAGGCGACGTCACTACGGAGCTGTGCAGAGCCATACCGCATGGTCGGATTAGGAAAGAGAACAGGACGATCGACACAGCGGACATGAGACTGTCTAGTGTTCAACACAGCCGGTTGGCGTCATTTCCGAGCATTAAAGATATTCACAAACGTTTTCTAACTGGCATCCTGTGGACGCCTACATGCGCAGGCTGACCGCTGTGCAGATCCTTTTTAAAAGCTTTCGGCTCACCGATCCAGCTTGCGATACGTTGCGGGTGTGGTATCGCGGGCTAGAACAACCGTACAGTAGCAGGGTGATCGGCCAGTGGCGTGGTAATGGCAATGTTGGAGGATCAGACCAGGGTAGGTGAGTGCATTTAGTGCCTTCCCGCTCTATTATGACTGAGTGAGCACACACTGAGTGAGCACACACTGAGTGAGCACACACTGAGTGAGCACACACTGAGTGAGCACACACTGAGTGAGCACACACTGAGTGAGCACACACTGAGTCACTCAGCCCGTGACTGAGCGAGCACACACTGAGGGAGCACACACTGAGTGAGCACACACTGAGTGAGCACACACTGAGTGAGCACACACTGAGTGAGCACACACTGAGTGAGCACACACTGAGTGAGCACACACTGAGGGAGCACACACTGAGTGAGCACACACTGAGTGAGCACACACTGTGTCGTGCACGTGCACGTGTCCCAGGTCGTCAGACTAACACACGGGTCGAGCGAGATCCCTCGTCACAAACAGTTTAGAAACACATGTCTTCGAACAAACAACAACTACCAAAACTCCATTGAAGCATCAAAATCAAAGGAGAAAAAAGAACCAAGAACGGAGAGCTGGGGACGCACGTACCCGGCCCCATACCGGGCGCACAGCCAAGGAGGATGACACCGTAGCGTCCCCACGCTCGACTGGCAAAGAAAACAGCAAGCAAAGAAATCTGACGAGTGCGAGCGCAGTTTCAACTTCCAGCATTTTGAATGACAAGCTGCAAGCGCGAAGCGAGACACGTGACCGAAAATAATGCATGTCATCAGTGCACACGCGGACATATGCAAAAAGGTCAAAAGCGAGTGCTGCAAGAAACAGCACAAATAAATAATAGTTCGGATGGCGAAGAGCTAGAAAGGCAGATTCCTAATCATCGAAGAACAATACATATTGTAGAGTTCCAACGCGACTGCCGGGAGATGCTGGCACCCACCAGACGGGTGGTTGCTGCCCCTGTCAGAGAAATAGAACGGAAACTGAGGCAGAGGAGCCACGTTGCAAACGGTGAAATGCGCAAGGTAAGAATATTCAAGCGGTGTCAAATTACGACGTACTGAGTAATATATGGGTAGACAAAGACAAACACTAACAAATGGAGAACGTTCCAACAGAAGCCGTGAGTGAGAAGAGAGGTGAGAGAATGAGAGCCCTTTCCTGATCGGATCCGCAACATTACTCCCCACCAAAGGGCTCTTAACAGAGATTACAGATTAAGGCGAGCTGGAGGGTGGACAGCGCGGCCGCGTCGAGTGGTGCGCACGGCCGGGAGCGGTTGCTCCTGCGGACACGTGACCCTCGTTTCAGGCATCTCAGGGGCAGACTCGGGTTGCTCTCCCGATACATCTTGGGCTGCAGCATTCGTTGGTTCCTGCGACGGCGTCACCTCCAGAGGTACCAATCGCTGAACCGGGCGCAGCAAGGATGCCTGACCAACTTTGACCCGCACTACTCTGACTGCGCCGTCCTTTCCTGGGAATACTTCTTCGACTCGTGCGAGGCGCCAGGACTGCCGCTTACGAGTGTCGTCCACTAGCAGCACCACGTCTCCCGCTGCCACACTCGACGAATTAGCCTGATGATACGCGATCAGTGCCGTCAGATACTCTTGATTCCATCTGTTATGGAGGTGCTTGCAGATCGTGTTCACATAGCGCTGGCGAGAATTCATCTGCTCGGCTGTGAGCGAAGCGTCACCATCTTTGACTCCATCAGGACCCCACACTCCACTGATCATCATAGCTGGCGTCAGGGGTAGCTCGTCTGCGATGTCTGCCACATGAGTGAGTGGGCGGCGGTTGACCACCGCTTCCACTTCCACTAGAACAGTGTCGAGCTCACGTGGACCAAGAAATGCCTTGCCCAATACTTTCCGGAGGGGGGACTTCACTGCTCCGACTAGACGCTCGAAGAAGCCACCATGCCACGGCGCCGCTGGTGGGTTGAACAGCCAGACAACGCTGATCTTCGATGCTGCTGCCTTGAATGTTGTTGCATTATCGGACCGTATGCGAAGCGGAGTGCCTCGGCGAGCAACGAACCGGCGGTAGGCCAGCAGGAAAGCCTCGGTAGACAGACTGTCCACGGTCTCGAGATGCACAGCTCGGGTTGTGCCGCAGACAAACAGGGCTATCCATATCTTGCGGACTTGATCGGTGTCCCGAATCACTATCGGACCGGCGTAGTCGATCCCTGTCAGACCAAATGGCTTCTTGTGTACAACTCGGTCGGGTGGTAGTGGAGGACTGATTTCTGTGGCTGCAGCAGACTTGTAGCGTTTACACACCACACAGCGTTGGGTGATGCTACGCAATGCTCGGCGCGCACCCAGTACCCACACATCTTGTCGGAGCGAGGCCAACACGTTCTCCACACCACTGTGCATCTGTTGCACGTGCGCGAGTTCCATGAGTAGCGTTGTCACATGATGTTGTCCGAGGATGACAGGATGCTTAGTTTCGTATGGCAGCTCGCTGAGCTCCAGCCGACCACCTGCTCTGAGCACTCCTTTCTCGTCAATAAACGGCATTAGTTGACTGATCTTGGAGCTGGCTGGCACTGGCTTGTTATCTCGGATAGCAGCGATCTCGTCAGAGAACAGGTCTCGCTGGACGACTCGATACAACGCTGCTTCTGCGAGGAGTTTGAGCTCCGCCCGCGACTTGGAAGTATGTCTCCATTGCAGGATGCGGGTGATCACACCCTCGACTCTTGACCACTTCGAGAGGCGTTCCCACCACTTGACTGTCGGCTCGATGGACACGGCGTTGACGCGTTGCTCGGCGTTGACGCGTTGCTCGGGGGTGGGCTTGTTGGTTGGTTCCCAGGTCTGCGCTGCTGGCCATGCTGCTGGGTTTATGATCCACTGTGGACCATGCAGCCACTCGCTGCTAGTGAGGCCATCTACCGTCGTGCCGCGGGAGACAAGATCTGCCGGGTTCATCTTGCCGGGGCAGTGGTTCCAGGTGACGCCCAGTTCCTTGGCGGTAAGTTGCACAGCCGTCACGCGGTTAGCGACGTATGTTTTCCACCGGTACGGGGGACTCGTTATCCATTGCAGTGTAGTCATGCTATCCGTCCAGCCATAGATGCCATCCACCGGCACGCGCAGGGCATCCACGACGAACTTGATGTATCGCGACGCCAGACACACTGCTTGGAGTTCGAGGCGTGCGAGTGTGGGTGCAGCTGGAGGCACTACCTTGCTCTTTCCGAAGAGCAGGCACGACGTGTTGTCTGTCACCAGGTAAATGCCGCATCCGTACCCCTTCTCCGAGGCGTCTGCGAAGACGTGAAGTGATACGTTGGAGTCGGGCTTACATCCGCTCCAGCGGCGCACTTTTACTGCGGGCAGGTTGGACAGCCCTCCCCACCATTGGGTACACTTCGCTGCGACGTCACTGGGGAGCGGCTGGTCCCATGTCCCGCCCAGCTTCCAGCTCGTCTGGAGCAGGATCTTGCCCGGCAGCACTGCAGGTGCTGCCAAGCCCATTGGATCGTACACTGACGCCACACAGTGAAGCAGATGACGCCGAGACCACTGTGAGTTGCTGCTATCGTCATGGTCACCAATAGAGGCTATTCCTAGGACATCATCCTCGGATTGCCATGGGACACCTAGCACCTTCTCGCCCGCTTCGGGGTCGCTAGCTATGCCATTGCCTCGCCACTTCCTGAGCTCCATGCCCGCGCTCTGCATAGCGGCAACACTGAGCTCCTTAAACTGTTCCGCTTGGCCGAGGTCCGGCACGCTGACCACTGTGTCGTCGACATAAAAGCTGTCACGTAGCAGCGCTAGCACGGTACGTTCCGCTTCTGAGGTAGCGTTTTCTATCAGGCCGTCCAGATGGTGCAGCAGTACTGCGTTGAGAATGAAGGGCGAGCAGTTGGCGCCGAATGGCAACTTGGTAAGCCGCCAGATACACATCTCGTCACCGCTATCCTTAGGCCACACAAATCGCAGGTATGGTCTGTCCTCCTCCCGGATACCGATCATAAAAAAGGCTTTCCTGATGTCGGCTTGGACAGCAAAGCGATACTCGCGGAACCTGAGCAGCAGCCCGACCAGATCTGGCAGGAGTGACGGTCCTGGATCGAGCAGGTTGTTCAGTGAGTCTTTGCCACGCATTGACGCCGACGCGTTGAACACTACGCGTGTCTTGGTTGTAGCAGCATTCTCTCTGAACACTGCTCGATGTGGCATGTAGTAGCCTGGTTCGTTGGGATTAGGCTCCCTCTCGATTGCACCCAACTCGCCGTATTCGCGGAGTAGTACGTCATCATAGAGCTGTCGCTTCCCGTTGCCTTTGAGACGCTTGAGCAGGCTACTAGCTGCGGCCACTGCTTGACTGAGGTTTTCCGCAGGGCGCTTGTCAGACCGCCACAGCAGGCCGACTTGGTACTGAGTGCCAATTCTTTCGACCGGAAACTCTGGTCCGCGTGTAGGCGCACTGGGCGGCTGCTCCATCTGCCAGAGCCGTTCGATTTTCGTATCGATACAGGACACCACTACTGAGCTGGGTGGTGCAGGACGACGGTCTGGGCCTAGCAGGACCCACCCGATCTCGGTTTTCCATGCCACGTCACCATTGTGCACTGTCTTTTCCAGCAGAATGTCATTACTGAAATCGGCGCCAATGAGCAGGTGGACATCGCTGGGCGTTCCGTCCATAGGCTGATCACTCAGCTTCACACCTCGTTCTTGCCACTGGTTGACGACCTCAGTCGTAACTGTTGGGAGAGACATGTTCATATCGTCCTTCTTCCATGCCAAGATCGGGATTGGCTTGCTTGCGCCGGTCAGCGTCAGTTCCACACGCTCCAGCTGCTGAACTGCAGGCTCCGTGCCGAACGCTGTCACGGTGACCTGGTCGCATCCCACGTGCTTCGGCCTAATTGCTGTGGCCAGGGCCGACGAGATGAACGAGCCCTGTGAGCCGGGGTCAATGAAAACACGCACCTTGGCCCTCTTTAGCCCGCGCACCTCAGCCACCCCAGTCATGAGGTGGACTGCCGATGACGTAGCACAGCTATATGTCTTGATGCCGTTTCCGGGCGGGTTCGCGACGTGCAGCAGAGTGTGGTGCTTGCCGTTGCACTGGGTGCACCGTGGCCGCGCCCGACAAATCTTTACCCAGTGACCTGGCTTCAGACAGTTGAGACACAAGTTCTGCGCGTGGCAGAACGACCTCCGCTCCGTGGCTGGCAGCTGGCTCAGGTGCTCCTCCGCCTCAGTCATGGCGATGCCGAAACTCTGCGTGCTGTGGTAGTCCGGCATGTCAGCTGGCTTGGGCCGCTCCTGCTTCTTCGATTTCACTCCGTGTGCATCTTGGTACGATGAGCCAGTCTTTTGAAACTCTTCGAGGGCAACCTCAAAGCAGCGCCGTTCCAGCAAGAACGCTTTCAGTTCCACGCCACTGGTTTCCAAGGTTACCTGCTTGACCAGGGCTTCCTGGAACTTATCCAGGTGCTCGACGATACTGCTGTCTAAGGAAGCTGTTTCTGCCTCGTCGTCGGTCCCGTCTCGCACGGTGCGCATGGACCACAACACTACTGCGCGGGACACGCGGACAACGTATTGATGGAAACTCTCTTCCACGTTCTGGCTCAGGGCCATCAGCTGCCGCCACGCCTTCTCGGCGGTCAGTCCGTATGACTTCAGGATTTCCCGCTTGGCGTCGGTGTAGCTCCGGCAGCCGCGACAACTGCGCTCATACTTTGAGCCGGCGAGAGCCACGCGCAGCCGTATCAGCCACTCATCGTCGTCGTACTGGTTCTGGGTGGCGACGTCCTCGTACAATTCCAGATAATTTATAATAGTTTGCTTGTCGTCGTACTTGGGAATTTTGATGGGCTTTGGTCGTGAGGCCGAGCGGGTCTCGCTTAAACGATCCCGGAATTCTGTCTCCCCACGATTCGTTTCCAACTCCTGTATTTTCGCCGTCAGCTCGGTCAGCTTGGTTTTCAGCGTTTCATCCTCCTTGCCAACACCCCTGGCTTCTGCCCTGCTATCTCTCTCTTTAGCGTCCTCCAGACGCTTTTCGACATAATCACGGAGTTCCGGTCCCTCTAGGCCGTACGCCTTTCCGTTGGCGATAAATGATGCTTCGAGTCTATCCATTCGCTCGACTTTCTGATGCTGACAATCCTGGCGTGGTCGCCAAAAATGTCGTGCACGTGCACGTGTCCCAGGTCGTCAGACTAACACACGGGTCGAGCGAGATCCCTCGTCACAAACAGTTTAGAAACACATGTCTTCGAACAAACAACAACTACCAAAACTCCATTGAAGCATCAAAATCAAAGGAGAAAAAAGAACCAAGAACGGAGAGCTGGGGACGCACGTACCCGGCCCCGTACCGGGCGCACAGCCAAGGAGGATGACACCGTAGCGTCCCCACGCTCGACTGGCAAAGAAAACAGCAAGCAAAGAAATCTGACGAGTGCGAGCGCAGTTTCAACTTCCAGCATTTTGAATGACAAGCTGCAAGCGCGAAGCGAGACACGTGACCGAAAATAATGCATGTCATCAGTGCACACGCGGACATATGCAAAAAGGTCAAAAGCGAGTGCTGCAAGAAACAGCACAAATAAATAATAGTTCGGATGGCGAAGAGCTAGAAAGGCAGATTCCTAATCATCGAAGAACAATACATATTGTAGAGTTCCAACGCGACTGCCGGGAGATGCTGGCACCCACCAGACGGGTGGTTGCTGCCCCTGTCAGAGAAATAGAACGGAAACTGAGGCAGAGGAGCCACGTTGCAAACGGTGAAATGCGCAAGGTAAGAATATTCAAGCGGTGTCAAATTACGACGTACTGAGTAATATATGGGTAGACAAAGACAAACACTAACAAATGGAGAACGTTCCAACAGAAGCCGTGAGTGAGAAGAGAGGTGAGAGAATGAGAGCCCTTTCCTGATCGGATCCGCAACACACTGAGTGAGCACACACTGAGTGAGCACACACTGAGTGAGCACCAACTGTAGATGTTAGAGTATTTGTGCTCTGGCCGATTAGCATCATCGCATTCCTCTATTAGTATTGCCGCTAACGCTCCACCTTGCTGTTCCTGTTGTTATTGCTTTGGCCAAACGACCATTATCATTCCTACTATGGAGTTGAAATGGGTCAGGAGAGGCCGTTGGCACTTTGGCACAGGTGTAATGGCACATACGTGGTGTGCACGTTCAACCACCACTACTGCAGCAGCACCAGAACCGGCAGGCCGTGGGAGAGCATCACTGTGGGATAGGGAAGTGTACATCATCTACACGTGTGGCGCTATGATCATTCCATTGAAGCTGAGCTACATGTACGTACCTCCGTAGATAAGCTGTGCCTACATGCACTACAAATCATTTCCGCGTCCAAGTAGTGTGGTATGAAGAAACAGGCGCCGTCCGCCAGTTCCATAGAGTATTAACCTAAAATAGTGCAATAACGTGCCCATCATGAATGCATGAACAAACCAGACCATTGTAATACAATGATGACCACATAATGGAGCACTCCACTCCACTGGCGATAGCGCCAGGGAAGCATTGCCCTGCCCCGCAGTACTGTACGTAGTGCGTGACTGTATTGAGGGCAGATACATGTAGAATGGGATTGCTCAGGTGCTGTTGTCGTAGTCCGGCGGCCCGGAGCCGCGGCACCAACATGACTAATCTACAACTATCCCATTACAGGCCGTGCAGTGGTGGCCGTAAGGGCCGATTCCCACTACGGTACCGTGAGTGCCGTGCCGTGAGTACCCATGGTGATTTGCTCACGTGAGGGGCAGTTTTGGCGCGAGTTCATTCCGTGGCTCCCGCCGTACCGCGCCGTGGACATTCCGGTGCCGACGGCCTCTGGGGGGTGGAAATGGCATGCCGTGGTATTCCGCGAGGTCGAATGCAGTGAGTAGTAGGTATTTTACTACTCCCTGAAAGGAAGTTTTTCTTTCTTTTGTATTTGTGGTACGAAGTTTTTTCTTGGCTTTTGGCTTTTCGATTGGTTGATTCTTGAGCTTTCTCCAGTCATCTCCCCGGCCCCCGCTATTTTCCCTCAGGACCAAAGTCAGAAATTGATTAAAAAAAATGGTGATCCGGCCTGCCGACGGAATGCACGGAATGACTGTGCGCAGGTGTAAATCACTCTCAGCTTCAAGCTCGTACCGTGGGGCACACGTGACCTACCCAAATCGACGGCACGGCACTCACGGTACCGTAGTGGGAATCGGCCCTTACTACAATTACATTATTAGACATACCGACACCACATACACTCGCACATCAGACATATTTAGACATGTTCGGGTCACACCACACCTAGACACACACTCACTCGCCGCGCCATGCCCTCACATGTACAGCACCCGCATTCACATACTTACACACATATACACACACACACACACGCCTATACTTTCACATCGAGACTCACATCTTGCGGTCAGACATAATATCAAACGATACTTATCAAACGAGAGGGAAGAAAGTCGTGACTTGCCGTAAAGACGAAGTTGCGAGAGAGAGAGAGAGAGAGAGAGAGAGAGAGAAGGAAAGTCATCGCAATAGTATCTAGTTGCGGCCATGGAAGTCCATGGCCACGAGATTGCTGGTCCCGCATGCAATAGCGTATCAAACCGTAATAAATATGTGTACGAACTGTTGCATAAAGAGCGGGAGCCATGTGGGGAAATAACAGCGTAGACCAAATAAGGGAGGCCTCAGGCCTTGTGTGAAGATATAAAATAAAGACGATTATGAACCCGTTTACGGGAGATAGATAAATAATAAAACAACTAAATAAGGCATACTTGTCCCGTAGAGGCCTAAAAGGCACGTGCCAATCGTATGGATACGACATATCCCCCCGCTTACACGGAAAAGAACACGTCCTCGTGTTATAAGTAACGTAATAAATTAAACTAAGATTATGGCTAACAATTTAACTAAACGAGTGCAGGTCACAATTTGAGTTCCGATCAAAAGCTGTTCAAAGACTAGCTGTAATATTGGCCACAACCAATCCAGTCAATACCACTGAAATCCTTACTCGTGCCAGACGGGACTCCCAAACAGCTGAGGTGGATGGCGGGAACGCGGGGTTCGCCTTTCCATCACGCCAACTGGCGGAGCACTGTCGAATACCCGAGCGGTGTCCTCCTCGTCTCGGGCGGCGGCATCAGTGGCATCAGGCTGGTAGGACGGAGTCAAGGTGGATGCCATGGGCTGCGGTGGGTCCGACTCATCTTGTTCGCGAACCTCCTGCAGCCGACTCGGTCGATGATGACAACTTTTCAGCCGGTTGACGTGCACTATCAGCCGACGTGCCGTGGTGCTTGATGCGGTAGGTGACGGCGGAGAGCTTCTCCTCGACTAGGTACGGTCCGTGCCACAGTCTAGAAAACTTGGCGGTTGTACCCGTCGGAATGGCCGGCACCAGAAGCCACACTGCATCACCAGCTGCAAACGTCACGGCCTTAGCGTTACGATCACGGATATGCGCTTGATAGCGGTGCACGTTGCCCAAGTGCTCCCGAACCTGCGCATGAGCGTCCTCCAGGCGTCGGCGGAGAGCACTCACGAATTCCGGCTGGGACGCTACTGCGGATGCTGCTCCTGGCGGTAATCCAAATGCCAAGTCTTGAGGTAGGCATAGCTCCCGACCAAAGAGCAGATAGCTTGGACTGTAGCCGGTACTAGTCTGCGGCGTCGAGCGGTATCCCATCAAGAAGGCTGGCAACTTGATGTCCCAATCTCGATGATTCCGGCAGACATAGTGCGCCAGGCCACGCTCAAGCGTCTGGTTGAATCTCTCAACCAGACCGTCACTCTGTGGATGGTACGCAGTTGTCCTGGTCTTATCTATGCCAAGCAGAAAGCAAACACTGCAAAACAGAGAGCCATCAAAGTTTTTGCCCTGATCGGTATGCAACCGATCAGGAGCACTAAAACGTGACACAAACTCATTAACAAACACCAAAGCAATAGTGGAAGCATCCATTCTCGAAAGCGGAAAAGCTTCCACCCATTTAGTGAAATAGTCAACTACAACCAAAATATGGCGGTTCCCTTCCGCTGTCTCCGGCAAATTGGGGATCAAATCCATTGCTACTCGCTCAAAAGGATACCCCGTCCAGGAAGACTGCATTGGAGCGCCAGACCCTCTGCCAACGGGACGCTTCAACTGGCTACAGGAAGAACAACTTGCAACCCAATCCAAGACATCTTTCTTCATGCCTACCCAGTGAAATTGTTGCGTCAGTTTCTTCTGCAGGCGTGTAGAACCCGTATGTCCCCCCTGGTCATGATACTCTTGCAAAACCAATGAACGTAAATGCCGGGGAACAACAACTTGCAAGATAGACGGCTTACCGGGGCAAGGGTCCTCCCAACGACGGCACAACACCCCCTCATGATGAACCAGCATTTCATGATTTTGCCAACGTCGTTGTTCACGGCCCCTACGAACAGCGTCGTCGAAGCGTCAGGGCGGCGTGACAATGCATCAGCGTTAGCGTGCAATCGACCTGCCCTGTACAATATGGTGAACTCAAATTCAGACAAAAATTCCAGCCAGCGAGCCACAATCGCCGGTGGATTTTTGAAGTTAGCCAAGTGTTCTAGAGAACGATGATCAGTACGAATCACAAATTGTTTACCAAGCAGGTAGCAACGAAAATGTCGCACAGCCCATACCAAACCCAACAATTCCTTTTTCGTGGATGCGTACCGTGTTTCTGTATCGGCCAGAAGTCGACTAGCATACGCTATCGGCCGTTCCAGACCTTCCTGAACCTGAGACAGTACTGCTCCTAACCCTAGTCCACTAGCATCTACGTCTACCAGAAATGGTGATGCATCTTGTCCAAACCTGGGGTAAGCTAGTACTGGGGCGGTTGTCAACACTGTCTTCAGATTCAGGAAAGCGGATTCACAGTCAGGAGTCCACAAAAACACTTGGCCAGTTTTCGTCAGGCTGTACAAGGGGCGGGCAATGGTGGCAAAATCTTGGGCAAACCGCCTATAATACCCACAGAATCCCAAAAAAAACCACGCACTTCACCAACTGCTTCAGGGGTAGGCCAGTTTCTGACTTTCTCGATCTTACCCGGATCGGTCCTAACCC